AACCAAAATCATGTATTTCTTGGGCAGAGGATAAAAACGCTTAGGGGTATTTTGTGCAATGGAAACCAAAGCCTGGCTTGGAAAGTTTTCAATTTCCCAGTCAAGAGATATCTCCACTTAAGCAGAAATCAAGTGTGCTGTACGTGACATTAAGGGAAAAGTAAACCCAATTGGAAAAGTTTTCTGAAAATGCTCATATCTGCAGCATTGTCTCACCTTTTACCATTGCATTCATCATTTAGTTGGTGTTGTGTACAAATCATTCAGTTAACTTACTGCACATTCATCCGGGGTTTGTATCACTTCGTAAGTGGAAAACTAAAAACAAGCCTGTCAATATTTATTGCATATTTTAGAATGACTGTTGTTACAAGTAGCAAGAATATGATCTGCTTCATTATTATGAAATGTGCTTTAATTATTAATTTCTACCACGTTGTGCACTTAATGCTTTTGAGTGTTGTAAAAGCCCTTGTACGTTTCAGAAAAAAAAAAAATCCCATTCTGAGATGATGACACATTCTATGTTTTGAAGTTATTTTAGAATTAGAGCAAATATCAACTTCACACATATAAATAATTGCAGAATTTCCATCTAACACTAAGTGTTTATATCATGTAAAAGAGCAAAGAGACCGTAACTGCTTACTTCATGTTTATAAAAGTTAGGATTTTAGAGGTATTGCAGCCTTTGGGTAAGGACACTTTTCATTAAAATTTCTAGAGTGCAAAAATCAATTATTTTATCACAGAACTTATTTTTGGAAAGCTATGTTTTTCCACCTGTTTATGCAATTTGGTCACTAGACCTACTGTTATATTTAGAGAATATCTTCCCTAATAACGTTATTTCGTTTACGTCCAGTGTTGTGTCATCTGGAAACGTGAACTTGGAAACTCAGATTTATATTAAATAGTATCTGATGCTGTGTTTCATTTTGTCCTGCAACATATCTTGCAGAACAAAGTGAAACAAATTAATTTTAATACACAGAATCAAGTAAATAAATGACTAAGTGAGAGGATGACTTTGGAACATACTAGTTATAAAGACAAAATATCTTAATTGTGAAACGTAATTACCAGCAGACAAATAAACTTTTTCATTTTCAGTTTATCCAGTGGTGCATTTCACCAGTGATGAAAAGGCTAAAACAGAAGTGATACCAGCAACTACTGCAAGGAGTATTTTATCTTTTGTTTCTTTATGCCGTAAACAGCAAAAAGAAATTATTGCTATTTAGTAAAAAGTTCAAAATTCTGTTACTTTTTTCCTCCTCTGACATATTATTTTCAGTGTCTGTTTGGGATATTGTGCCCAAAAGTAAACCAAAAGGAAAAATTAACTTTCTGATTAAACTTGCAAAATACAGTTTTAGAAATCTCTTAAAAATAGACCTAAGTTTTCACAGTAGCATCAATTCTTCAATATCTTATTAGAAAACTCCTGTTAGAAATAACAGAAAGCCACAGAATTAAGCTTATAGGAAGCACGTTACTCATAGTTCGGCAAAGTGTCTAAAGCTTTACATTTCAGTTCTCTGTACTGCTGTTACTTGACTGTATTGCTAGCTGGTCGAGGGAGGTGGTTGTCCCGCTCTGCTCTGCACTGGTGCGGCCTCACCTTGACCACTGTGTGCAGTTTTGGGCACCACAGTACAAAAAGGATACGAAGCTACGAGAAAGTGTCCAGAGGAGAGCCACAAAGATGGTGAAGGGTTTAGAGGGGAAGCCGTACGAGGAGTGGCTGAAGTCCCTTGGTCTGTTCAGCCTGGAGAAGAGGAGACTGAGGGGAGACCTCATC